ATCACAACACTATATCTTGTTTCTATCAAAAATTATTTGAAAAATACTCACTTCCGCCTTTTTTGAAATGAACATTAGTGTAGAAACTAATAAGAGAACCTCTTTCGATGCTACTTTCCGATTTTCATGACCTCTTGCCTATTGACACTACATAGTGTTCTAATAAAAACCCTAAACGGGTTTGGGTTCCTCTTCAGATTTGATCAAGCTATCGAATAGCATTAAAAATTCATTAGGTTACTCAAATCTCAATAGGAACCCAAATCTTGTTAAGATTTTTGTCAGAACATTATGTAGTATCATCATGAAAATTGGAAGGAGGCATCTGAAAAGGTTTACTCATAAGTTATCGATCATTAGTAGTTACAACAATCCTACAGATATTTATTTCTTTTGTGAACTAATATGTTTTTTTTTTCTTGCAGCTCAATCGTATACAAAACGAGCTTTAATCGTTAAAGGATTACGTCGACGACCGAAATATAGTTTTACTGCCATACATTACCGTTATTTTCATTACATGGTTCGTCTTGAAGAAGGCCCTGCACCTGGCAAAGAAGGTCTCTATGGACCTGAGTGGCCTGAATTAAATGATCGCCTTAATAAGCGATTAGACCGTTTGAATAATCGTAAATTATTAGGCACTATTGCATAGGAATTGTTTCTTTTTTCTTTTTCTTTTTTTGTTAATATACAAGTCGCCATTAGGACAGACAAAAAAAATTGTGTTTTTTTTCTTTTTTGTCTTAGATGAATCTTTGTTTTAAAAATGACATTTCATCGTTTAACGCTTCTTTCATCATTTATTGCTCGTTCGTCAAATTTTCTTATTCATTCTCATCAAGGTCGATTATTTAAATTCAATCCTAATCGTCAATTTTCATTGACATCAATTCGTTCACAACGTGGTGATCGTCCTACAATATTAAGAAATAATGCTGAAAAAACTCCTAAAGTAAAATTAACACTCACTGATCTTGGTAAACTTTTTCGTTTAGCACAACATGAAAAAAGTCGTATTTGTGGTGCTATTATACTCTTATTGATATCAAGTGGTGTTACTATGTCTGTACCATATATTCTTGGAAGAATTATTGATATGTTACAAACATATAAACATGATGAACTTCGTCGACGTTTAAAACAAACGACATTTTTTCTCATTGGAGTGTTTGGAATAGGTGCAATAGCTAATTTTGGTCGTGTTTATTTAATTTTAACAACATCACAACGTATTATAAAACGTATACGTGAACAATTATTTAATAGTATACTTCGAAAAGAAATAGCCTTTTTTGATAAAAAAAAAACAGGTGAATTAGTCAATCGTTTATCTTCGGATACAGAAGTTATGTCAAATGCTGTAACACAAAATATATCGGATGGTCTTCGAGCATTAACACAATCAGTTGCTGGTGTTGGTTTAATGCTTTATATAAGTCCACAATTAGCATTAGTTGGTTTAACGACTGTACCACCAGTAGCTGTTGGTGCAATTTTGTTTGGAAGATTTATTAAACAATTATCACGTAAAGTACAAGATGCACTTGCAAAAGCAACCGATGTTGCAGAAGAACGTTTTTCAAATATAAGAACAGGTTTGTTGAATGAATTATTAAAGAAAATCTTACTGATTTTTTCATATTTTATTTTAGTTAAATCATTTTCAAAAGAAGAACAAGAAATACAATTATATAATCAACGAATTAGTAATGTATTACAATTAAAATATACAGAATCATTAGCTTATGGACTTTTTTATGGTATGACTGGTTTATGTGGAAATATTATTGTATTAAGTGTTTTTTATTTTGGTGGTGTTTCAATGAGTCAAGAATCATTAACTATTGGAGATTTATCAAGTTTTTTATTATATGCATTTTATGTTAGTTTATAAAATTATTGTAATTAAAGTTTTGTGAAACACGATCTAAAAGGAGTGTTAAAGTATAGAGGTAAAAATTTAGATCTTTCACACATACTGTGATAGACGCTAATTACAGACTATCACAGGTCCTAGCCAGAGTTCATCATAGGCTATGACAGATGTTGTTGATTTGAAAATATAGACCGTCTATCAATTAATGTCTTGTGCTAATATTTAAACTACTTTCTTATTGTATTTCTTGAGGACTAAATAAAAGAATAGTAAAGAAATGTCTCCTAAAATAGATAGAATAAAGCAATCTTTCTATGATTATCATGAGCACCTTCATCGTGTTTCACATTTTAATCTCACAGAGATTGAGATAATAGTTTTTTTTTGTTAAAAAAACTATTTTAGGTTGGTGTATCTATATCCGGTATATTCTCTTTTCATCTTGAATTAATGAAAGGTGTTGGAGCAAGGTAGATAATCAAGATTTTTGAATTTTAAATATTTTATATTTTTATTTCTCTTTTTTAGTCAAGCAGTATGGTCAATTTTAAATGATGAACATAATGAAAAAATGATACTTTCAAGTCAAAGTCAACGTACAATTCATGGAGCACCATTAACATCAGCATTAATGCTTCACGATATAACATTTGATTCAATATCATTTTGTTATCCAACTCGCCCGGATGCACTTGTTCTTGATAATTTAACACTTCGTGTACCTGGTGGTCGAGTATTAGCTATATGTGGTAGTTCAGGTTCAGGAAAATCAACATTAGCTCAATTATTACTTCGTTTTTATGAACCACAATCAGGACAAATCCGTATTGGAAATATTCCTATTAATGATATGCCACTTCATTGGCTTCGCTCAAATATTGGTACTGTACCACAAGAACCCATTTTATTTTCATCATCAATTTATGATAATATTGCCTATGGATATCCAACTGTAGTAGAACATGTTCCAGAAAATGTTCTTAAAAATAAAGTTATACAAGCTGCTAATACAGCAAATGCAAGTGGATTTGTTGAACAATTACCTGAAAAATATGATACTAAAGTTGGTGAACGAGGAACAATGCTTTCTGGTAATATATATATATGATGTTCTTTTTGTTATACGAAGTATAAATTTTATTAAATGATTTCTTTTTTTTTGTAATTGTTTTAATTAGGTGGACAAAAACAACGTGTTGCATTAAGTCGAGCCATTTTACGTGATCCAAGTATTCTCGTTCTCGTATGTACTTTTCATTTAATTCTTTCTAATATTATATATAAATATACTTAAAGGATGAAGCAACATCGGCACTTGATGCTCAATCAGAATATTTAGTTCAAGAAGCTCTCGAAAAAATCATGGTCAATAGAACTGTTATTATAATAGCACATCGTTTATCAACAATAATCAAAGCTGATCAAATAGCTTTACTTGATAAAGGACGTATTGGTGAACAAGGTACATATGCCGAATTAATGAACATTGAAAATGGATTATTTCGAAATTTGGTTGCTACACAAACCATAGTTGATACAGATGTAGTAGAATAAAATTATTTCAATTTTTTTTTCTCACCGTTTGCTTTCCTAATGCACGATATCTCGTTAGGCTTTTTTTTCCCTTCAGATTTATTTTTTATTTGTTTGTTTATCATGTCTGCAATATCAGAAGTAAGCATAGATAAATTAAAGAATTTTATTAAATTTTCTCTTCGAATTGATAATAGATCGGCGGTGATAAACAAACAGTTGAAGGATCACTTAATGCTACACATAATCGTTTAAAATGTTATATAAATGATCAAATAACTATACTTGATGATATGATGTAAATATATTTTCCGAAGAAATTCATTCATAAAGATAATTTATTGTTTTTTTTTCAATTTTAGGTCAACAATTGAATCATTTTATAAAACTGAAAAACATACACATGAGGTAATCATATTTAACATAAAAATTGAATGTTGTTGGTGTTGTTGTTTTTTTGTTTTTTATTTGGGTGTTTCATCAATAACTAACATATCTTATTATTATAGAGAATGCAAAGTAGCTTACAAAAATCACTTGAACATGCACAAAGCATGTCCTATCTTGGATCAAGGTATTCCGAGAGATCGAACACGAAAAAAAAAAATTTTGCTCTCCTTCTTCTTTTTAATTTATTGTATAAGAATGTAGTTGATTGCTTTGCTTTTCTATCAGAATTTACTGATGAACTTCTTTTTTTTTTTGTTAATTGATTTTGTTTTCATTTTTCAGTGTTATTGGTTCAACTTGGACAACAGCAGTAAAAGAATTACTTGAACATTATTCTCAACGTGAAGCATCATATCCTGTACTTAAACAAGTTACATTAGAAAATTTAAAAAAACTAAAAAATGAAAAAGTTGATGAACATAATAAAGTAAAAAAATATTTGTTTATTTTCTTGTTTTTAAATTTTTTCTTTTATTAAAAAATAGATTTTACTCTATGATGAAGAAATCATAAAAGAAATGGTTGATATTGAACGTCGTACAATAAAAACGAAACGTGCATATGATGATGTATGTGAACGTTTACGACAACATCTTAATTTAGCTAAAGAAAAAGAAAGTGGTATTAAACGATTACAACATAAAATTTTACCAAAAGTAAATATTCAATTTGTTTAATCTTTATAAACAAAGCAAAAACCACGAATAATTTATTTTAGAATGAATTAGATAAACTTGAAACGTCTGTTGTTGATACACGAAATATGTATATTTTACATGTTCAACAAATGAATTATGCATTAAAATTTTATATTGAACAATTTATTGTTGATTTAGATAAAGTATAAATTAATTTGATTAATTTATTTAATTTTTGTATTATTTTATTTAGTTACTTGTGTGTGATCTTTTTCCACAAATTGAACAAATACTCGATGATCTTGTTTATAGTGAATATAAACGTCTTCGTGAGACACTTCAACGTGCAATACATGCAGCTGTTGAAGTAATTAGAATATATTAATAATATAATCCTACTTTGTTTTTCTTTTTATCACATAGGATGGTGATGAACAAAAACGACGTTTATTACCTAAAACATTTCAAAATTATCCATTAATTCTTTTAACTCATCAAGTAAGATAAGAAGATTTTTATGTATTTATTATCAAGGTTTTCTTTTTTTGTATTTATTATTTAAGAGTGATCAGATTAATATTGAAGATAAACATCAAGGACAACTTACATCATGTTATACATCAGCCGTAAATGATTTACGTGATGCTGATCAACAAATTCAATTAGCATTAGAAAGTTCAGTACTTAGTGCACAACAGAATAAAGTATATACAAAGATATTTTCGAATAGACAGTGTAAAAGTTCTGCATTCAGTTTGTTTTTTTCAATATAGCATAATAACAACTCATCATGAAAACTCGATAATTTTCTTTTTGGAAACTGCGAAGTTATATAAAAATATTTTGTTTGAAATAATGATCGAAAGCGGAAAAGTTCTTTAGAAGAAAATCTTCATTCACTAAGAAAGATAGTCCTATTTTCCGTCTTGTATAGAATTTTATAGCACAACAATAGGACATTGTAAATTTGTAAAAATAAAATTTTCAATTTATTGGTTGAATTCGAAATCGACATTTTTCTAATAGCCTTTGCTAGCGATAAGTATTCATAACTAATAAGTGATTACGAAAAATAAGATTTTTTCCAGCAATCGGAATTAGTCAAAACCCCATATTTTATGTCCAAGTAGAGTTTAATGGGTCGTCTACATGAGTACGTCATTATGGGAAAATCAAGTTTTTTAATAGGGCTGTTTTCTATAGATAACGGAAGTGTTTTGACATCACTAGTCATGTATTTATAATATTTAATTAAACCATGTCCTTTTAAGTATGTGTTGTGGACACTTAGCATAATACATTGATAACATCAGTCAATTATACGCAATTATTCTTCTTGTGTAGAGCAATTCAAACGACATGTGAATACTGAATAGTGATGTATGAATTTAAATGTCTGAAAAAATAGAAAATGATAAGACAATGAGAAAAAAGATATAGCTCAAACTAACTACTTTTCTATTTATTCTTTTTGAAATCAAATCTTCACTTGCCCATGTTAAATTAGTAATAAGTTTCTGTATTATATTTATTTCTATTGGTTGAGGTCGATACGGATCACGTGTAGACAACTAGTGGTAGTTCTAAAGTTGGTTATGTTAGGGTTAAAACTTGTAAGCTTTCGATAAGTATTTTAAATGGAATATTTTTTGCACAGCTTAGTAATAGACTATTTACTCTTTCTACCACGAAAACTATCGAACTTTTATGAAGAGTTCTTGTCACGCTATACTAAAAAACAAAACTAATGCAGAACATTTGAATCATCCATTATATATCATTTTTATAATAACTTTTTTTTCTTGAATTAAATTAGGATTCGAGAATGGATACATCAAAAATTCGACTTAAACGAATGGAGGTTTGAAATATCTTTATACTCTATATCGATTTATATTGGTTTTTTTCTTTCTAGATGCGAAAATCAGTGGCTTCATTTATAATTGATACATTAGGTAAAAACAAATATATAATAGAAATTTTATATATATGATTAATATGAATTTCTATGTGTTTAGAAACATTAGTACCTAATATTAAAACAATACCAACGTCAAATCGTACTACATCGAAAATCATAGGTGGTCTAAGACCGTTTATTTCTGGTTCGAAAACGGTTAGGATTATTTAAAATTTTTGATTAAGTTGAAATTCATATCATCTTTAAATTTTAAGGATAATCAATGAAAATTGGATAAAACGGAAGTATTCTAGTCTATAATGATATTTAATATGAAATAGTCGAACATCATGTGATAATTTTATTAAATAGAAACATCCTATTTCCTTAAACTTTTTAAAAATTAGTCTCGAAAATAAAAAGAACTCAAAATCATCATGATATACTCGATACTCTTTGAACTAAATATTGAGTAGAATAAAAAAATTATAATTGATCTCATTTGCTATAATTCTCTTCTATTTCAATTCGATATCTAATTAAATTTTTTTTCTATGAAAATTTATGATATTCTCAACCTTCTATGATTTATTTATGTTATAATTAATTCTTTTAATAAGACTTTTTTCTTTTTACCTAGGAAAATCCAGTGGTCGATAATACAATATCAACTAGTCCAAATGAGGTATATCACTTTCAATAAAAATTATTAATTTTTAAAATGAAATTTTTCAAGAATGATACTTCACCAACAAATATAGTTTTAACACCAACATTTCCATGTCAAGCAATTGTCTTATACGATTTCGAAGGAGCAAATGAAGATGAAATGTCTGTACGAAAAGATGATAAAATATTTATAGAATCGAAACCCGAATATGAAGGTTGGCTTATTGCTAAAGGACGTGATAGATCAGGTCTTGTACCTGAAGCTTATGTGCAATTAATATCATCGACTGTAGTTCCATTAGATCAAGGTTTGTTTTTAATATTTTTTTCAATATTTATCTTCTATCCTTTTTTAAGGATCAACAAAAACAATTACTATGGGAACCATAATAGATAAATCACTTCAAAAGAAAAAAACATCAACAAATAATACAAATACGATAAGCTCATCACCATCAAAAGTAGACGATGATGCAGAATATTTTTCAGACGATTAACTTTATTCTTTTGTGTTTTTTTTTCTGTCCTATCTCGTCCGTTTGGCATGTGAACAATGCATAAAAAGAAAACAATAAAAATGATTTTTTTTTTGCTCTTAATAATAGTCACGTATTCAATATACATATCTATATAAATGATGAAGATAATGTGAGATACAAACATAGAGAAAGATATAGATTACAGATTAAGTTGAATTTAAAAAAAGAAAATGAATGGACAAGCACAAGATGTATTATATAAAGCTTTACCACAAGGTGTACCATTTGATAATTACCGACCACCAAATTGGGATGAGTTTTTTATGCTTAAAGTTTATTTAACAGGTTAGATAAAAAAATAATAATTCAGTTAGAATAAACAAAAACAAATTGTTGTGATTTTTCTAGCAAAAAAATCAAAAGATCCTCGAACAAAAATAGGTGCTGTTCTTGTGCGTGATCGACGTGATCTTATATCAGGATATAATGGAATACCTGAAGGTGAATATATGTGATTCAAACATATAATTTATTTTTTTAATTCTTTTTTTGTTGTTATTATTAGGAGTCCAAGATTTACCGAATCGATTTGAACGACCTACGAAATATATGTATTTTGAACATGCAGAACGTAATGCAATTTTTACAGCTGCACGACATGGAATACGAACTGAAGGAGCTACATTATATGTTCAAGCGTTACCTTGTGTAGATTGTGCTCGGTAAAAATTCCTTTCATTACTATTTTAAATCATTTTACAGTTTTTTTTCCAGTGCTATTATACAAAGTGGTATTAAAAAAATTTATGTTCATGAACAATTTTATAAATTAAGTACGATGATTAAACGAGAAAAATGGCTTGGTCATGATGATATAACAATGCAAATGTTTGATGAAGCTAATGTTGAATTAGTTATGTTAAATTTACCTCATTTAAAAGTTGATGCATATTTAGATGGACTTGTTTATCATTTTGGTTGTTAATAGTAACTTCTCTTTGTTTTTTGATAAAATAAATCAAAAATTAAAGATATAGGAAATACTTTTTTTGTTCTCATTAACAAAGAGTGGGTGTATCATCATGATATGCATGTTGCAATTTCTAAAAAAAGGTCATGATGAGTTACTTTGTCATTCTAATTAATTATCGAAATTGTCTGTAAAGTAAAACTCCGGAATCTAGTTGACAAGAATTTATGTCATTTATAGAATAACGAGAAATATTTCAGACGTAAACTGTAAATGTCTATGACATTTAATGCACTTCATAAATATATTCTTAATATATTGATTGATGATGATGGACATGTGACAGAAAATCTTCTTAACTTAACCCCTTTTGGCGTTGAAATGTGAAACTCACATGGGTCCATTAGCTTCGTGATAGATATTAGTACAAAATACATAGCATGAAAAGTCTCTAACAGACAATAATTAGTTTTTACGGATGATCAATCGTCAAAAAATGACTTCCGCATTTCGAACAGAAGTTTTTTTTTACTGGCGATCTAGTTTTTTGTTGATCTTGTTGCTATTCGTTCGTTATTTTTCTTTTTCATATTCTGTTGTTCTTAATTTAACATTGTTGTATATATCCATTATATCTATAGCAGATCTCAACACACTATTATATATCTTGATAAACTTACAAATAGTGATATTGATTATTTTCGAAAGGTATAACTTCATCAATTCACATTTTTTATATTGATCACGTGGCAAATCAATGCATTACTGTTCATTATCGTTGACACCTTGAGCTTTTCGCATGTTCTAGAACGGTCTAAGCCTTGTTTCTAATGACATGCATCACCTTTTTTATTTTTGTTACTAAGAACTGTTGGAAAGAAGTCTAATGTCTATTGTTTTTAGTTGCTAAGATCTATAATGGCGATGAGTGGACAGACGCAAAACTTTGATTTGACTCTTACAATCACTATTTTCTTCGGAAATGTAGGTGAGTGTCACAAAACCTTATCATCTTTGTGTCGACACTTGCATGTCTTATCCAAGATTCAGTCAACCGGATATAAATTAGTTAGTACGGACGTAATTAATAATAGCAACACTTATGAGTCTTCAACGAGAGGAAGTCGGTAGCAAAATACAAATAAAATAGTATTAATCTATGTTCAAGAAATAGAATGAATATTAGTTATACTTTGGGTCATAGTAGAGAAAGTTGTTTTCATTATATGTGATATTAGTTTATTGAATGAAAGAAGAAAAAAGGAAAATACCGTCTATTGGAAACAAATATACTTCTGAAATATGAACTTTGTTTGTTGTCACATTAAAAATGAATATTTACAATCAAGTAGATGCGTTTGAAAAGTAATGAAAAAATGAAGAATCAATATTAACTTATTATAGAAAAATAGTATTGTGAACCAAAGTATTATAAGATGATTTTCTATATTAATTTTCCTTTATTTGTTTAATAAATTCTATACAAGAAAAATAAAAAAAATATCTTATTATTTATTCAGTCTATTTTTATGAATGCATAACTACGCCACCACTAGTGTCACCTGGAATTGGGAATGACGGAACGGAAGTGTTTTCCATAACAGCTGCTTTTTCCTCTCTTAAGGCACGACTTTGTGATTTAGCTAAAATAGGATTATTTAATGTTGAATTAAATGTTCCACGAAGAACAGTGTCTTCAAAAAGTGGTGATAACTAAAAATAAAGAGAACATAAGGTAATTTTGAGTATGTATTTATTTTGTTCATTTCTTACTTCATAATCAGCTGGACCGGGCATTTTAGGAACATCATGATAAAAACGAGGAGCACGTACAGGTGCATAACCATGTGTATGTGAATTAATAAAACTATCATATGCACCTGGTCCAGGCGTATCACTTGATATTTCACCAGCAAATGTTCGTTTGGCAGCACTTAGAAATTGACTATGCCGTTGACGAGCATTTTGTGAACGTGGTGATTTTCGATGTTGAGATATTAATGCATGATAAGCACGTGGAACATCATATGCTGTTGGACCAGGTATATCCTTTGAAAGTAATAAAAAAGCAAAAATATAATGCAGGAAAATCAATAAAATAAAATTTTTACTTCAATAAGAGGTTCTCTAGCAGAACTAGAAATAAAATTGGCTGATGGATGTTCAGTTTTTGATTTAAATGGTTGACTTTTAATATCATAACTACTAGGACCTTTGATTTTTGATGAATAATTTATTATTATTATAATTCAAAAAAAAACAAAGTATGAGATTCTACCTGGTGTATTATAATCATCTTTGCGTGTTATAGGTAATTTACGCATTGAAGTAACATTAAATGGTGGTTTTTTTCCACCTTCAACAACTGCTCGTCGTAAATTTTCATCAGCAAAACCAGGTATACGATATTGACCAGGACCTGGTACACTTGCTGATTTATAATCAAATGAAATAAATCGAGCTGCTGTTTGATTAAATGGTGTTCGTTTAAAACTTGTTGGTTTTGTTAGAATAGCATTAAATGCTGTTACGACTTGATCATTATAGCTTGCAGGACCGGGAGCGTCAGATGTAAAACTATAAAAACGCTATTCAAAAAAAAAAAACAACAATTAAAGATTATTTTTATTTCAATTAAGGATGTCTTTTGTTTTTTTGAAATTACTTTTGTTTGTGAACCAAATGGTGGTCGTTCAAAATCAATGCCTGTTATTTCAGTATTTGATGGTTGAGGATCAAGGTCACGTTTTATTGAATATCGACCAGGTCCGGGAAGACTCTAGATATTAAATAAATTCGAAAAAAAAGAAAAATTTCTGTTTTCTTTTCTTTGTTATTGTTTATCATTACCTCTTTAGTCACTGTTTTGAGCATAACATCAGGATATCGTGGCACTTGTAATTCTGGTCGTCTATCCAATGTTTTCATATTCATATGTTGAACTTCAAGTTTAACTGAATTATTTGGATCATATTCACCTGGACCAGGACCTGATTTTCCAGAAAAATCTGTACGTTTACTTGAATATTTACCAAAATGAATACCATGATAAAATCTAGATGAATCATTTTCTACCTAAATGTTTTATTTTTTCATATAAAAACACAATTAAATCATAAAAGAAACATACCGATACTGATGCATTATAAAAAGCAGGACCTAAACTGTCATCTCGATCAGGTGGATGTTGTGGAATAAGTTTTCCTACATCATCTTCTTCAAAACCGTAAGCATATTTTGGATCAGGAATTGAAGGAGGTAATGATTTACGATTATATGCAAACGTATGCTGACGTGGATGCTATTTATGTAGAAAAAGAAAAAAACATAAATTATGAATGCCGGATATTAATCAAAAAAATATTTTAATGATGGCTTGCTTTGATATTATCAACGGTAACTGAACGAGGTGATTGGCTTGTATTGAATTCATAAGTACCGGGTCCTAAGAATATGTTTATTAATCTTGTTTATGTTAATAGAATATACCTGGTGTTTCATCGATAGATTTCTGATCAAAACGACTTGCTCTATTGGCTATGGTACTTCCTCCCTCAAAGAAAACAATTTATTGAAAATATTTAATAAAAGAATAATAACAATAATAATAACAATAATAATAAAGAAAAAAGCAAGAAGTAGCTAAATCAATCGTATGATGATTATCACCTGAGATTGTCTATTGAATAATATCCTGAATTAGAGAAACAAAAAAAAAAAGAAAGATCAATAATCGTTTTCTTTTTTTGTAAACATTGAACAAAACACTGTCTATAGCAGTTTACCTATTTGGTTTCTTTGAATATACTATTTATTTCATTATCTGAGACTTATACGCGTGAATGTGTTGGCATGAAATCATCATCATTAATAAGCAAACTATGAGCGAAAAGAACAAGTTGATGTCAGGCAACATCAGTTTTTAAAAAAGTATTTTCATTATTTTTATACTTTCTTCAATATTGTATTCATCAATATTCTCATTATTTTAAAAATACTTTGACATGAAATATAGGAAAAAAACATTAAAAAAAGCATGAAAATTTCTCTTGAGTATATATAGAAAGCTGCGTGTAAAGAATTACCAATATATTTCAAAAAAAAATTAATAGATATCATTATGACAGACTCATATATTGAAAAAACAATAATTATGTTTATTATTTGATTAATGATTGTACGTGTTGTGCTTTCTAAATTTTATATATTGAAAGAGTCTCTTCTTTTTTTGTTTTTGTTAATACATTAAGCCAGATTTTCAAAGGAAGAAAACAGTAGATCAAACGATGCAGAAAATTATTCGCTCTATTTACCAATTTAAGCATTTAGAATATTTGAGTTCATCTTTATGTGAGAACAGGTAGTTAGGAAAAAAAAAGAAATCCTGTGCGGATGTGTCCTTGGATACCAGCTAAAATGATTAATCGGTGTATTCTAATGATTAATTACGAATCAACCTCCTCCTCCAATGAATATGCAGGAATAAACAGATCATGGTCTGTCTCTATTCCTCGCTCTCTCTCTTTCTGTCTCTGTCTCTGCCTCTCTTTCTTCCTTTTTTTTTCGCCCTTTCGCTTTTTTTTATAAGACGGAAATTTGAAGAAACAACTCACTCATATTCTTCTTTCACACATTCCTTATTATCAGTGCCGTGAACACGCAGAACATATACGATTCTGGTCTATTCTATAATATCTTAATCAATAATAATGTTTAAAACAATAATTATAATTCAATATATCTTGATCTTTCTTGTTAAATTAAACCATGGAAGATCACATAAAATTGAGGAGTCATCATCTTCTCCAGCAACTATATTTATTAAACCAAAAGCAAATGTAATGCGTCAAGTTAATCCATTGAAACTTTTATTTACTGTGGTTCATATTCCACACAGTTCAAGTTATTCTATTGAATGGAATTTACCATTTTTAAAAACCATGTTACTTGAAAGTTCATATGTTACCGATGAAGATAAAGCTTATTTTATAACGAAATTTATTAAACATTTGAATGATTATGCTAATTGGTCAGAAGAAAAACATTATGAATTAGAACGATTTACTGAAAAATATTTTAATATATACAAATCGCCGGATATGTTTTTACCATTTATCGATTGCCCTGCTTTAACTTATGGTCTTATGGATGAAATGATTAATGAACTTCAACCAAATGTTGATGAACATAAACGAGCAGCAATGCGTGCAAAAGCAGTCGAACGTTTATGCGAATGAAACTAAAGTTTTTTTTATTTATAAATAAAACATCCATTATAATGGTATGTGAAAGCGTATTTTATGTACTTATAAAAAACCAAATTTACATTTATTGCTTATCTATTCATCGTGACTATAAGCTTTCTTTTTTATTCAAAACTTGAAATGAAATAAATAAAACATCAAGATAAAGCTATTTTCATTTAAAAAAAAAGAAAATTAACTAATACCATCGATCAATGTTGTTTGATTTTAGAAGAAGAGAATATAAATATCAAGCTATTCTTTTGTTTTTTGTTTAGACATTCATCCTCCTATACACATGATGATCATCGTCTTTTTAACGATAAACAATTTTTTTCCTATCATTATAATGTTCATTAGAAAAGAAAACTTGTAAAATGAGTGAAGCTATTCATTTTCATGTTCTTCTTTTTCTTTGTCAGACAAGCTTAAAAAAAAACCTTTATAAGTTATTCCATCTTACTTTTATTGTTGGCGACAGAACATGTCGAATATCATAGTAACCTGGACCAGGATTGTCATAATTGGAAAATATATCACCACGATTGGAAAGTGATAAAAATGGTGCATAACTTTCTATTTAGATTTTACATGAATCAAAAGATTATTTTTGTGTAATGATAAAAAAAACCAAACCTTCAGAATTTTTTTTCCTTCGATGATCATAAGTACCCGGTCCAACATGATCTGGTGTACAACCAACCTTAAGGTGAAGTGAACGTGGTGCTCGATCATACATCTAAGAATAATTCAATTGCCCTTCAAATGTTCTAGATTTTGAATACAACAATATTAAGAAACAACAATTGGAATAATCATCAATAGTATTAATGTTCAAAATTGTGTAGTCTATTCGATATGAGAATGACTTCAAATCTACAGTATGCTTACATCAAATATCAGAAAATTTTGTTTTTTTTTCTTTTTTGTATGAAAAACATTTGTCGTCAGCATTCAATTGGTTTATATTCAATTATATATAACAAAAAAAAAAAAAGATTCTTTTACTTCACAACGTAATAAACGACTTTTATAGATTACAACTTTGAAATAATGTAATATTCTGTTTAAAAATTTATTGGATCATTTTATAAAGAGTAGAAATTTATTTTTAAAACTTTTATAAATATTATTTTACGTTCATAAGAAAACTTAACTCGACAATATTAAAAATTTATATTTATGACATAAATATCTGAATAAAAGAAAAACATCCTACGACAAGAACCATTATGATAAAAGTGAACTGATGAATAAATGATCTATGAGAATATCTAAATAATAAAATACACATTGTGAAGAATATTTTATTTCAAGTGCACTTATAACGATACTAACCAAGAAAGAACACTTTCGACAGTGCACGCTAATGTTTTTATTTTCCCCAGTTATTTGTCAACTGTCAAAACTAGAGTTTTTTTGTGATTGATTAACTGTAATAAGCAATTAATTTAAATTAATTTCATGGAAAAGTTTTATTTCTGTTCTTCTTCATTTCATAATATGTAATCTTCAAAAATGACTCGTTTTTCCTATTGGTTGATTTAAATCGAAATAACAATCTTTTTTTTTCTTGTATTAACAATGTACTCTATTCTTTTCATCATTTGGTACTTTAAAAAATGCTATAAGTGTTTTTTTTTTCTTTTATTTGAATAAATGTCACATTAGATTTTTCAAAAAATTTATTTATGGAAAGTAAAACTTGACTCAAATTTTTGAACGCATAATGCAAAAGTTCTGTATTAGTTTTGTTTTTAGTATAACATGAAAACAACTCGATATAGAGATTCTATACATTTCTTGTTTGAAAAAGTAAAACTACTACAAAAAAACTGCGTAAAAATATCTTGTTCAAAAATATTTACTGAAGGCTGATAACCACAGGCTTCATAGGAAATAGTTCTTTTTTTTAAATATTTGATTTTTCCTCTACAATATTCAATGAAGTTTTCCCCATAGGGTCTCATATTCTATTTTATACAATGTATTTTTGTAGAGCACTTAGTAAACTGTAATTTGAAATAGAGCATAGGGTTTCCCTGAAGATAAACAGCAGACTCCATAAGACTTCAGCATATATTAAATGCTATAGTTCAAAGACTTCTTAATATTTTATAACTATTTATGAAGTTTCAACAGACATTATGAAACTGTATAATTGAAGTCTCTGCTGTTTCTTACTTGGGCTTTACTAATTTTGATTGTTGAAAAAAATCTTATTTTTTGGAATCATTTATAACTTGTAAACACGTTTCTCTGACAAAGACTGTTAGAAAAATGTCGATTTCGAATTCAACCAATAATTTGAAAATTTTGTTTTTATCTGCTTACAATGTCCTATCATCGTTCTACAAAACCCGATAGAAAATGAAAAATAAGACTAACTTTCTTAGTGAATAGAACTTCTCTTCTAAACTCCAAAAGCTTGCAGATGACTTTTTCAGTCAAACATGTTCTAAAAACTTTTCAGCCTTCAACAAGTATTTTGAATGAAATATTTTTAGATAGCTTTTGTATTAGAGACTTTACTCTTTTGAACAAAAAAAAACTATCAAATCTCTATGTCGAGTTGTCGTCACGTTATATTGAAAACACAACCAATGCCAAACTTTTGCACCATACTCTAACTTAATAATAATACAAATTGTTGATATTTTTAGCACAAAATAATTAGATTTCCTTTTAACAAATTTTAAAAGCTTTCATTAAAAAAATATCAGGGGTAATTTCACTTTTTTAACTTCAATTATTTTCTATTAGCAAACATTTCCAAACATTCAAATTCATTTTTTTAAATTATCTTTTTGTTTTACTGAATAATGATCGCCATTCTTCATACGACTACACTACTTACGTGTACAGTTTAGCCTAAGGATCATCCATAAAGAAAGTCCAGGTAACAATCGCATTTTTTGACCCTGCTTGCCTCTTGAACATCCAGTGTAAAAAAAAAACATTTTCAAAAAAAGGATGTGAATGTGAATGTGTCTTACCTTAACCTTCACTCACACCCTTCACACCCCAAAGACAAAACATACATTCAATAAACAACAAACAAAAATCCAATCTGTTGCAAATTTTTTGCTTTTTTTAAATACATTATTTTTTTATTGAGCAGAAAACAGTAAAAAATAAAAATAAAAATGAAGTGCAATACAAATGGCACTCGAAAATCTAACAATGTTCATATTACTACTTCAGAAAATCACTAGCTTGTCTATGTAGCATAATCTTCAATTATTTCAACACTATATTAATATTCAACAGATTCATTCAGTTCATGTTCAAGTTAAGACTATTCTCTTCAAAACGAGCTCAGCTTTGAAATTCTGTTGAAAATTGTGTGAAAAAAAGGAAAATATTCGTAGTAAATATCTGACCGTCCTTAATGGATGATCGTCTCCTACTTGGCTTGAGTACTTTCACCGTGAGACATCTATTATTTTTATTAGTGTTGTGTATTATGAAATCTTCTGTACTTATCAAAGTAAATTTTTAATGAAATAAACAAATATTTGTTTTTCAAACAGAAAATAACAAAAAATCATATGATATTAACATGCAAAAATAATTTTTTCTTAAAATAAATTCTTGAAATTCTATTCGTGTTTTTAAAAATTACTTCTATAAATAATTATTATCTAAAAATTCTCTACTTACATTGTTATAATCTAACCAGCAAAATCCAAGACTAACCCTATTGTTTCAAACAATCAAAGTTTTGTTTTTTCATCATAATTGTACTTTGAATTACATTGTCATAACAACACATTTATTTATTTCTAATGCATAAATAACTTAAATAAAACTTGACATATCTATTCTTATTGGATAATCAATAAGTCAATCGAATATTGTCTCATTATCTATTTCATTCCATTCGTTGCTTCATATACCCTGTACTACATACCACCTCTCCTCTTTTTCTTATTTTTCGCTTTTCTTATTTTTGTATTTATATCATAAATAACACCTAGGTGCATTCATATGTTCTATTTTTCATCTTCATTATTATTCAAAAGATGTTTTTGAAATTCCAGATAAACAATCTTAAATATGCACTGAAGGAAAATATATACGATATAGAACGAACTATTAATTTTTTGTTATTTTTGATCAAAAAAATTTAATTTAATCATGTCGAATCATCATGATGATGAACCGTTATTTCCAATTGAAATAGGTGAACATAGATATCCATTAAATGATACTCAACAAACATTAAATAATGATAATAATTTAACAATAATCGATACTGATGATGATAATCGATTTGTTGTTAATGATACAGGTGCTGATTCATCTCAAACCAAGTAAAAGAAAAAATAACTATAGAATAAAATATGTTTTATAAATACAAGAAAATATTTTTAGTGAAGTTGAAACAGTACAAATAACAGAAAATACTGTTAATCCACAGGGTGAACGAGTTTCACCACATGATTTTCAATTATTAAAAGTATTAGGTAAAGGTGGTTATGGAAAAGTAAGAAAGAAAATTTTTTTTTAATGAAATATTCAATATCATTTCATTGTTTTATTTTGTTTTTTATTAAGGTTTTTCAAGTCAAAAAAGTATGTGGTAGTCATCAAGGTGAAATATTTGCTATGAAAGTTCTTAAAAAAGCCACGTATGTTTTATTTATTATTTATGATTTATTAGATTTGTTTTTTTTTTTCGATAGAATTGTTCGAAATGCAAAAGATACTGCTCACACAAAAGCTGAAAGAAATATTCTTGAATGTGTTAAAGTAAATAATTTAATTTTTCTTTTTTGTTTGATATCATTGTCAATATATTATTTTTATGAAACACGATCTACGAAGAGTATTGAAATTTAAGAATAAAAAGTTCGGTTTAATGTAAAAAGTTCGAAAAAAAAGCATCTCGAACAGTTTGTAGCATTTGATATCAATGGGATAATCGAACAGCATATGTTTGTAATTGATATTCTATTCTAAAAATTCATGACAATAAAGTCACGAAGTAGAAAACTCGTGAAACGTTTAACAAGTAAAGATCATTTGCTTGTCCTAACTAACACTAAAAATCTCTGTAGGAGATCGCCAAGACTTATTTCATTTTGATCAAATAGCAATTGGAATGAACGAATTTGTGGTTGAAGCGTAACAGGTGTTTTTTTATTCTTCTTTTCAACTGTCAGTATTTGTTGACGACAAAAAGTTCTTTCTTCTGATAATCAAATACATGATTTACATGTAACTAATTACGTGATAATAGAACAAGAGGACATCTTTCGAAATTTTTAACTATTCGAAGTTCAAGCTTTTTACAGGAATTCAAAACTTTGATCTTCATCATAGACTGTATATCAATAACGTCTCTTTATACTACTCCCTGAGTGTATTTCTAAGTGATTAAGTAAAAGGATGGTGAAGGAATGCGTGTCAAATTAGTTAGTATAAAATAATCTCCCTGCGATTAGTAAGAGCAGCTATATCATGTTTCGCATTTCAATCACACAGGAATTGCACTAACAATTTTGCTTTGTAGTGTCCATTCATTGTCGATCTAATTTATGCATTCCAAACGGGTGGTAAATTATATTTAATACTTGAATATTTATCGGGTGGAGAATTATTTATGCAACTTGAAAGAGAAGGAATATTTATGGATGATATGGCTTGGTATGATAAATATTTATGTACTATGAAATAAATAAAATAAGTTTTTTTTTTTTGTAGTTTTTATTTATCGGAGATTCTATTGGGATTAGAGCATTTACATAAACAAGGAATTATTTACAGGTTAGTGAAATTGTGATTTGTCTTTAATTAATGTTTGTTTTGTTTTTTACTTTTAGAGGTGAGTGTTTTGAAAGAAAGAGAATCATAGGTTCAGTTTTTTGATTTTTTTTTAAAGATCTTAAACCAGAAAATATTCTACTAGATGCTCAAGGTAAATTTTTTCGATTATTATTTTTTTTTGTCACTTGATAAATATATAAGGATTCTTTTAAGGTCATGTTAAATTAACTGATTTCGGTTTATGTAAAGAATCAATATATGAAGGTGGACAGACAAATACATTTTGTGGTACGATTGAATATATGGCACCAGAAATATTAACAAGAAGTGGTCATGGCAAAGCAGTTGATTGGTTTGTTGATTTAGAAAAGAAAACTAATAAATTTTTTTATTCTTATTCGATTTTTTTTTCTAGGTGGTCATTTGGTGCACTTATGTATGATATGTTAACGGGTGCTGTAAGTTGTTAAATTTATTTCCGTTTGATCCCATATTATCATTCAGAATTTTATTATATTTCATTTAGCCACCATTCACAGCCGATGATCGAAAACGTACAATGGATAAAATTATTAAAGCAAAATTAGTTATACCAGCATATTTAACTATCGATGCAAGAGAACTTATTCGAAATGTAAGATATTATAGAATTCGATTTATTAAATAGAAAATTTATGTTTGTGAAAAATTCTTTATTGTCGAATTTTGAACAATAATTTGTATATCAAAAGATAAAATATCAATGGAAATGTATTAACGAAATAGAAATTGAGATACATTTGTTTTTGAATAATTTTCGATGAGAAATTTTATCTGAGAATTATGCAATAATATTCAAGATTTGTAAAATCAACATTCGAATAAGTAAGATCATCACATATTCTCATAATTTTCTTTATATGACACACAAACTCAAGAAAAATAGTAATTCATAAAAGTTGTGTAACATTTCAATACTTTTGCCTAATTTCCACTGGAATTGTCACAATGAAAAAGATTGTCGAAAGTTTTGTTTACCGATAAGTCATAGTGAAATGAAGCGAGAATATCAGTGGAACTCAATAACTTTGATGATTTGTCCACTTTCCTGAATGAACTTTGACAATCTCTTTATTGCCAAAACGTCAGAGTCTACTGTACTGGAACAGAAGATAGTAAGAAGTTCATTCTATTTTTTTGTTCGATAGAGTGTGATTTCTATTTTAACAAAGTAGTTTTCGTCGATTGCTATTTGTGCACTAACTACAAGATCAGTTGGAACTCCTTGGAAACTCTTGGAAGACATTCTGTTAATCTCTTCAATTTAGCTTGTGCTTTGCCGCAATGAAAATCATTTTCTTGGCTAAGATGTAACCTTCTTATCAATTGTTCGAAAACCTAATCATTAATTATATCTCTTTTCCACAAACAATTAGAACAAGATTGACTAAGACAGATAAAACTCTTCCAGGATTAGAAGAATATGTAGAAAAAGTTGGCTTAAATGTTTGCTCGAAATCAATTCTAGAATTCTTTTGTTTGCCGTTAAAAAGCTTAACTAATCTGCTTTGTTCAAAGTTTCGACAACATCAATACGATTTTATCACAAATACATATGCAGCATTCGGCGAATTTTGCCATTTTAAAATAAAGATCACATTCTATCAAAAAAATTTAAAAAAAAATGAGTTTTCTATCATCCTCTGTTCCATGTTGCAATTGAGTCTATTCATTTAAAATTATTTCATATGATTTCTATACCATTGAAAACTTTTCAGCATTAATTCAAAGGTAAATTTTTAGTATTTGAACTATTAGAATTATTAAAACTCATAGTTTATAACCATCCGAAATGATATCACTGATAAGATTTGTTCTTAGAATTGAGGTTTATTTATCAAACGCTTCACATCTATGTTGTTGTTTTTTTTATCTCGAAATAGATTAAAATTTTGTAAACAGTACTCATTTAACTTTACTCACATAAGAAAAATTTTAAACAATATTTTACACCTTTGTTTTATACTAACAACTACAAACATTTTCATAATTGTTGAGCGAAAAGCAAGGAGATAGTGACTCCTCCAATCTTAAAAAATTTTCGTTTTTCTTCAGCATTTTATTGTTTTTTTTTTTCTACTCACCAATTCCCAAAAAATGGTTTGCCTCCTCTCACGAAGAAAAATCCTTCAAAAAATTTCTCGCTGTCAAAATAAGAGAAACTGCTTTTTTTCGAACATATATATTTAAAGAGATTAAGAAATCATTTCGAAAACATTTTAGAACAACTGAACCCGGGCATAAGCATATTGAAAGAGTCATATATTGAATGGTAACAGAAATAAAAAGAAAACAACAGTTGCACTATTCTCTATTGCCAAATAAATCACATAACTTGTGCACAAAAGAAAAACTTTTCTATAATCAATAATTTCTCTCAAACCACATGGACCCACATGGGTAGATTCTGTACGTCTGCTCGAGACGCTCCTTTCGACAAGCTGTTAGCATAATCCCTATAGGATTAAAACATGAAACACGATGCAGATGCTGTACTTAATTACAGAAAGATTGTTTTATTCAATCTATTTTGAGACACATTTCTTCACCAGCATTAGCCAGAAATGTAATAGGAAAATAGTTTGTATATTATAACTAGACATGATTGATATACAATCGAAGGTCATATATCAATAACATCTGTGACGCGGGTGGAGAAGCGTTTCTAAGGCGTCTGTAATGGGTCTAAATTTCTATCTCTACACTCCAACACTCCTTTTTAGAACGTGAATTCATATTTGTTAATGTTTGTTTTTTGTTGATTATTATACGATGTTATGATTGAAATTATTTAATAAATTTTAGTTACTTCGTCGACAAGTTAGTCATCGACTTGGTAGTGGTTCAGAAGATGCTGAAGCAATTAAAGTAATAAAAATAAAATTTTTATTGATTATAAAAAAAAAACAATAACAAACAATTTCGTTATAGAATCATTCATTTTTTCGTCATCTTAATTGGGCAGATGTCTATGCTAAACGATATGATCCACCATATAAACCTATTCTTAAAAGTGATGATGATGTTAGTCAATTTGATACAAAATTTACAAAACAAACACCCGTTGATTCACCCGATGATAATATGTTAAGTGAAAGTGCTAATCAAGTTTTTCTTGTATGTTTTATCATTAAATAAAAAATTTTTTTCTACATAAATTTAATCTTTTTATTTTAGGGTTTTACTTATGTTGCTCCATCAATAATTGATGATATGAGTCGATTACATTATTCATTAAATACTGGACATCGATCACCAAGAAAACTCTTAGCACCTGATACAGCTTCTCAAACGTAGGATTAAATTTTTCTTTTTTCAATTAGAATTTTAGAAAATTAAATATAAATAAACTTTTTTTTTTCTTCTAAGGTTTCATTTCAAAATGTCCGGATCAAATGGTGTAATTGATCCAGTAGGTGCAGCATCAGTTGAAGCTATGGATACAAGTGATGTTTCAAATCCCATATCATCATCATCTTCATCTCGATTTACAGTCAAACCATTGACAAATATCAAACAACAACCAAACAAATCAATGAGTCCAGGTATGATATTATCTTTTGTTGGTTTTTGTTGTTGGTAATGAACTATAAATAATGTTTTCTTTTTTTAACAGAAAAACCGATGTTTTATATATAAGAACTATATTAAAAAGGTTCTTTCATCTCATGTGGGTGTTTATTCAAATGCTTTTGAGTTATTGTTTTATTTTATAAAAAAAAAATAGTGATATAGTTATATACATAGAAGAAAAAAAAACTAATAGATTGAATATAACATTAAGCTAAATTTCTTTTTTTTTCTTTCTTTTAGTTAATCCCGGTCCTCCTCAATGATCATCCAAAGTAAAATAAAAATTTTAATAAATTAAATTATTTATTTTTATGTTTGTTTTTTTAGTCGGTATAATTAAATCGATCGATTGATGAAACTGAGTTTTCTTTACTTTGCTTTCCTTATTATTTTTTTTTCCGAGAACCGAAAAGATTGTTATCACTGTTGTTCTTTTCTTTTTCTTTGTTACTCTTTGCTCCCTATTGTTATTTTTGGCACGCTATATATTTCTATCTCCACTTATATTCATTCACTTTTTCTTCCAGATGCTGTAATTCTTGTTTACTGTTATGGTGATGACAACAAAAAGTCATATTTTTTTTCTTTTGGTCTTAATATTATTCCTAAAACAAAATACCTATGAAATATACCTTTAATTATTATTGTATGCGTGCTCATTTGTTTTCTTTTTTTTTCATTCTTTCTTTTTTCTTGTTTTCTTAGTAACAAGAATATCAAGTGATGATCTTATTTCGTCTATTTATTTTCGAATGAAATATTTGACAAATATTTACAGATAAAAATATTCAAAAAAGCAAAACAAAACAAAACAAAACATTGAAATAGTTAGAAAATAGTCAAGAATAAAGTTATTGTAATGATAAATAATGATGAACAGATGTTTGATGAGCTGAGCTAAATATACAAAAAAAATGTAATTTGTTAGAATTGTATGTTTAAAGATAAAAAATGACGAAAATCGACTGATAAAATTAACTCGGTAATATTACTTGTTGTGAGTTAAGCACAGGATAGATTATAATTAACATCACGATAAAAAAAAAATTGAAATATCTCAGCATCGGTTTAATTAAATAGGATGGATAGAAGTTTATTTTTTTATATAGATAAGATAAGCAAATATGACAATGCAGCACAGATGTCCATCGTGACTGAAAAACTGTTGCGGTCATAGAAGAGACAGGACTACTGCGTCGCTGCTGTTGTAAACATCTCTACTATGGTGGCACAACAGTTGAACTTTGATAGATTACGAACGTGAAAAACTATCATATATAAAACATTTATTAAGAAAAAGCTAAAAATTATATATATGCTCTTGCTCTTTTGAAATATCCTTTTCTGGATATACATCAAAATTAGCTATCAAATGTTGTAGTTATTCGTTAATTTCTTCATATAGAGTGTGGGTATGATGAGTCTTCCCTTCACAGACGCCAATATCCACACACGCAAACCCACATCCTATCGAACCTTAGATAACAATGCATGTACAGCTTATTATTTATTCTGTTCAAAACTTCTTTGACAGACTCAACTGTCGGTGTACTTTCTTCTATGAAGTATTATTGCTGAAATTATGAAAGCAATTTTATCTGTTATCAAATAAGAAAAATATCTATATCATATTTCATAAGTAATTTTCAATTGTCATCTAATAGAATAATGAGAAAAAATCAAAATGAACTATATTTATGCACATACAAAAAAATTTGCAAAATTATTTAGAAATGTATCCAACTCAAACTCTGGCTCGGTATTCTGGAACTATCCAATCAGTTCAGAGTATCGGATATTTACTCAAACGTTTCTTGAGGTATATAGGCAATTATGAAAGCACCCTAAGGTTTGGTTCGAGCTCGGGTATCTTTGAACGTTGTTGATTTCGTATAGTATGCCTGCAAGGTCGTTTTGATTTGTTATTATGATTCTACTAGATGACAATTGAAAATTATCTATCAAACGCTTCATATGTATTTGTTAGAATACATACAACAACATATCGATTGCATCGATCGCCTTGACAACATTCAACACATGCCCAATCTTCATACCAATTGCGTGTACAAACCGTAGCAAGACCATAGAGAACTAATACAAGAAAAAAACAACAATTCTCAGACTTAATTATCGAATATAAGATACTTACGTTGAGTGCATGAGTCACGTGTATCACATCCTTTTGAAATATAATAACGACGTTCAGCACGAGGTGTCCTAAAATATATAAATGAATTTTGTTTAATACAAAAAAAAAATTATTGAAAATTATATTTTTACCATTCATGAGGTGTTGTCCAAAGAATAAGAGAAGCACATGTATCTTCTTTTCGATCACACATACGAACCGTTTTTATACATTTATCATTATTTCCTTCTTGTTGTTCACATACATAACATTCGAGACCATTGACTAAAAAAATTCATGCCAATGTTAGAGAAAGAAAACAAATGTTTTAATATACTTGAATGAAAACTGATTAGTACAACAAGAAGAATCAATACAATAGACATTGAACAAAAGAATTTAAAAAAAAAAAAGAATAAAATCAAATAATCAAAACTATTTCTTGAAATCAATAAAATTGATCGATAATAAATTCTAACAATAAAGACAAAAGACTATTTTTCTATTGTGTTAACCTTTTTTCGATCGCTATGACCTATACACAAATAAAGGACAAAGACTTACAATCATAAATGTACTAGGCGACATCTGTATCATATTCAGTGCGAATATCTATTGTTCGCTTTGCGAAATGAATCGATATGTTTAACAGTATTCGACAAATTTGTTTGAAATGAAAAATATAAAAACTTTGATTAAGAATGATATCTATAAAGTTGAGATAGAATACTATTCAATTTGCAAATTAAGAATTTCTGGCAGTAGTTGGATTTGTCATTTGACAATTGCTGTTCAAATAGTTACTTTTTTGACATGAGATTCAAAATGAAAGTCTGATGGTGATGTTCACATCGAAATTTAGTATATTTATCCATCGTTTGCAATGAATCATAGTTCTAAATAAGTGTCGTTGACGAGTAATGGTCACGAATTTTAAGCAGAAACAGATTACTAAGAAAAAAAATCATGAAAATTTAGTTTTCTTTCGCAAGAAATTATTCTAGAAAAGAATCCTCTAGTTTATTTACAAGAATGAAATCTTTCGATTTCAGAATTCGTCTTGAAGCTACAGAACATATATGCATTTACTAGTACATTTCTTTGCTTTATTTAATCTAAATTCTTCTATAGAAGATTTAGGGTAGACTTATGCTGTCGGTACCGCTATCAATAAAATAAATAAACAAGCAGAATCTGTTCAATACTCTAATTCATGCAATGAAAATTGTTTAGATTTCGTTTTCTCTATTGAATTTTTAAATATCATATTCTAGAGCATTCAGCATCACTCCTATCGTACGTCATAAAAAGCCTTCTCATTATCAACCGTTTGAGAAACAAATTAATTATTTATATAATTTATTTGGTTCAATGTTATTTTTCTATCAATAAAAAAAACCGAGAAAACTGTATATTATCATGTCTATATGAGAACTCGATCATCAGAACTTAATTGTCTTGTTAATAATGTAAAATAATAGTTTACATTCGATGAGATTGTTATGAGACACAAGTTTTTCTCTTTGTGTCTACTTTCGTACGTTGATATAGTTATTTTCAAATTTCAAATTTTGAATTTTTTTTTCGTACAATAATTATATTTCATGGAAGAATGAATATTGAAGTTGAGTTTCACAAGAAAAAGCTAGAAATCAGTAACATCGAAATAGGCTTATGTTGAAGTAAACAGACAGTTATATGATGAAAAATTAATATATTTTTTATTTTTGACATGATTTTGTATGACAGATTATTATTGATAATCATAGCTATCATGTAAAAATGAATTTATTTTTTTGTCATCAACTTTTTATTATGTTTGATATTATATAAAAAATAAAAATAATAGAAAACTAATACATTGTCTGGTTGAGTAACTCGATTATCATAAATATTTAAAGAAAAACAAAAAGAACTTCATTATATTTTTATTTGATTTCTATAAAACTTTTCTGTTTTACATGCAAATTTTTTTTTACCTATTGATTGTAAAAGCTGTACGATAATTCTTCTCAAATTTAATATAATACCGGTTAAATTCGAGTCGATTTTCATTTTTAATTGAAGTCTTAATACTATGTTTCACTATTGAAAAAAACAATATTCATTCAAAGATTATCTTCTCTTTGATAGCATTCTTTGTATACAATCTAATTTTTAAACATAAACAGCTATATATTTAAATGTTTGACAAAACAAATATCTCTGAAAGTATTTTTAGTTGAAGGCTTTTCATCTAATCTTTGACTCGAATCAAATAAGACATGGAAAAATCATGAGCAAACATTAAAAGCAAAGCCACGCATTAGATTTGTATGCAATTACAATTTTGGTTTGTGCAGAATGTGATATTAAATTATTAGATTTTCTTCAGATAGTAATGATCAGATTTATAACGGTTTGCTAATGAATTTTTAACATCCATAATAAAATACTGGAAGCTTATTTGATGATATCTTAACGATCATGAATTTATAATTTCGAAAGAAAAATGAAAACGAAAAAACCAAATGTTCTTCAAAGTTGATGTTTTTTTTTCAAGCTACTGCTGTTGCTTACACATGTTTCTTTCTGTGTAGAATAGTAGAAATTATTTTTTTTTATTAATTAAAGTAAACAAATACTTGAAAACCTTTATATTTTTCCATAGGAGTTCTTTTCGCCTAGCATGATTCTTAATCAAGATAGGCATTAATGCTGTGAATATGACATTTTAAAATGTTTCGTTCTTTTATATTTGTCATATGTCAACAACTATAACGTAAATGTATAATTTTGTTTTTCTTTTTCAGTTGTTAACGACACAGGCAATTCTTCTTTCAAACTTTTAAATAAATGTAATTTATCTTTTATTTTTATTGTATCATAATTATTTAAAAACATATAGTGCTACGCTAGTCATCTAGAAATTAGTTTTCTTTTTTTTTTTAATGAAAATATTCATCTGAGACAATTGAAATTGTTAAGTTCCATTAAATAAAGAGGTTGCAAAGGATTTTCTCATATTTCATACTGCCTTAGATGAATGTATTTATAGACAAGCACTTAAACCATAAAAAAAACTACAAAAAATCATGAGTACTCATCAGTAGCACTGGTGCTCGGATCTAACTACGGTAATAGAGTATTCGTCTTGTAATATTATGCGTTTATTGTGTACTCTAGTGGTTTATGTAAAACGTTATTCATAATCGTATATTTTGTTTATTATTGTTGAACTTCATCCGTTTTATTTAAGTATAAAATTAACAATGAAAATCAGAGATAAGATTAGTTTTGAAAGTCAGAAGTAATAATTTGACTTCAGAGTTTCTGTATAAAGGATCAAAATAAACTTTCTATTTTTAGAAAGTCGAGTAATAGTAAATAAAAACATGTATTCAGAAAAGTACATCAGTGAATAGAAATGAGTAATGAATTATTCTCAAGGAAATTGAAAAAATCTATAACAAATAGTCTTAATTATTACTAACAATCGAATTGATATTTTTAAATTGATGAATATCTTTTAGTTAGTATAGGAAAAACAATAAAAATTAAATTATTCATCTATAGTGTGATTAATATGTCATTATAATAGATAATTGCAATCGATTCGTACTACAAGTTACTAGCCGTCTCTAAAGTAGAAGAATATTTTAATCTTAAATTAGGAAAGAAAATCGACCGAGTTATGATTTATTCGTTTAAGCAAATATTCAATTTCACTCGAAAGGTAAACAGTTGAAAATGAAAAAATTATTTTTCCTTTCTTTAAATAATCATATTTCATTTAATTACAATATTCTTCTTTATTATATTAATTCAATCGATTTTGCACGTTAGGTTTTTGCTAAATCTATTGTGAAAAAATAAGAATGAGTACTACATTGATAACTCATACTTGCATTTGTAAGTAAATCTGTAACAAATAACTCGAATGAGTACTCACTGGATGAATGTTATCACTAGAGCCTGTCAAGTCCAAAATTTTCGGATCCGGAGTTAGGTTTGATTAACAGAAAAATTTCAGGCATCACCTCGAGCGATTCCTGTTCCGTATCCGAGAGCAACCTGACAGGTTCTAGCTTCCACTAGGATGGACAAACTCTATTTGTTATTTGTTTTTCTTTAGTATATTCGTGAAATAATTCGATAAAACTATTCATTCTACTCTTGGGACAATGTTCTATGAAACTGATTAACTTACAAAGGAACCTCTCTGGATGTCAAATTGCTTTTCGACTGAGACAATGTTCATTTGATGAGTACTAGTGAGTAATAAGAAAAATCTAGAATGGTTTGGTTTTTCGAGCCTTTATTCTTGAGATACCGAGATTATATTGGATTTTTCAACGAAAAGCTCTGGTTTCTCTCAGTTCAAACTTTTAAGTTTCGGTTTCAAACTTTGCACGAACAAAGTTCTTAATGAGATTAGTTCATTGGAAAAGTTGTAACTTTTCTAGTATCTTCTATCCTGTGAGATATTCAATATTCAAAATTCTTTCATGTGTAAAAGTAAATTTTGTTTATATATTTACATCTTCAGAAATGAAACACTAGAAAAGCTAAAGCTTGCACAATCAATTAATACCATTGAGAACTTTGTTTGTGCAAAGTTTGAGATCAAAACTCGAAAGTCGATATCCCACGTGACCTGAGAAGGATCATAGTTTTTTGTTGAACAACCAAGTAAAATTTCGATATCTCAAGAACGAAAGCCCAGAAAATGTTGTCTCGATCGAAAAGCAATTTGATACCTCAATAGGTTCCCTCGTTGGATCTTTTCATTAAATTTTTGATTCTGTATTTCTAACTTTACTTTATATGAACAAAAAATAGAATAATATTGGAGTATGAAAAGAACTTTTTTGTAGTTTTTTTTTCATAAAAAAGATTGATTGTTAATTCATTTATATTTTATATAAATTTTCAGCAGTTCATTTGTTGATTTCTTTTTATGACGCATTTAAGACGATTCTAACTGATTCTTTTTCTTTAACTATTTTATCGCTACTTGTTTCCAAGGAACGAGTGCAGAAAAAACTTAGCAACACATGTAATTTCACAAGTCGCACATGTGTTTTTTTTTTCATTTTATATTTTTACTTTGTTAATTATTTTCTTTTTATATTTTCTCTATATATGAGATTTTCACCAACATATTCAAGCTTATGAAAACTAAAGCTGTATTTTACATCCAATTTACACAATACATATACTCTGTTCAGTCTTTTAGATCCATTAGAAATACATTATTTTCATTATGGGAGGTTGCGCTACACGTCCACGAGCAGTTGTACGTCCATCAGTTGTAAGATTTATTCCTGAGGAGTCATCAATAAGTACTGATCGAAAAAATCTTGAATCATATTACTTATTTTGGCTTGATAGTACGGTAAGATCACCTGAATTTATAGAAACTCAAGATGAATTACGTGCCATAATAAATTACATGAAAATATTCGAATCAAATGAAGAATGTGAAAAAGAATTTAAAAAAATTAAAAATGGTAAAATATTTTTAATTGTCAATTGTGTTCAAGGTTTATTATTGTTACCCAATATTCATGATCATCAAAAATTACATTCTATTTACATGTATCATAATCACGATAATGTTGACATGAATCAAGCAACAAATCAATATAATAAGGTATTGTTTAGTTCATTCGATTGATTTAAAACAATTATGTTTTTTTTTTGTTAGATTAGAGGAATATATGATTCGCTCTCTACAGTTAAACGATATTTAGAAGATGATATCAAAATGCATACAGATCTTGATGATCCAATGATAATTGATATTGCTACTGATAACAATAATTTAGAATATCGAGAACGATTTATTTTATTTTTAAAAATAGTTAATGTTAATGCAAAAGATATTTATGATAGTCGAATTCGAAAACGTTTAATTGAAACTTATAAGAAATACTATGAAAATAATGATAGTGAAGTAAGTTTTATCGAAGAATTTTCTATTTCATATAAACCTGAAAAAGCTACATTATGGTATATACGTGGATCTTGTTTACATCGTTTACTTTCTCGTGCATTTATTGAACAAGATATGAATGTACTTGTTGATATGTATTCATTTATTGTGGATATCAATCAAAATATAAAAAATCAAAGTATAAATCAATCATCAACATTACGTGTATATCGTGGTCAATTTATATCAAATGAAACATTATCTCTATTAAAAAATAATATTAATCAAATAATAACAATGCAATGTTTCTTTTGTGCTCAAACATCACGTGATGAAATTCTTAATGTTCTTCAAAGTATTGAACCAATAGATAAAACTACCAAACGTATACTATTCGAAATCGATGCATTACAAGATTATATATTTGTTGATAATAATCAAACATCTACATCAAAGACAATTCTCTTTGTACTTGGTGCAGTATTCAAAATAATTGATGTTACTGACACAACAGTTATATTATCTCAATGTACTACAATTTTAAATGGTAATTATGATTTAGTAAATGAATCACCTTTAATTATTCGAGGTATACTTACCTATTTACAAAATGGTACTATTGAAGCTATTGAATATTTTAAAAAACTCTTAGTTGATGAATCTGAAACTGACTTAGCAACAAAATCATCTATTTATGGACAATTAGGATATTTAGAAAAACAATTAGGTAATTACAATGCAGCAACCAGTATGTATGAAAAAGCAATGCATAATGGAATAATGCAATTTAGTGTTTATCTTTTTTATCTTGATCAAGCAGCTCAATATTATGCTAATGTACTTAATAATTGGGAAAAAGCAAAGAGTTTATGGATACAAAAACTTAATATTCAAAATACTTTTCTATCAGAAGAAGATAAAATACAAACGTATGAAAATTTAGCACGTGCTACATTTGAAACTAAGCAATATGCTAAAACAGTTGAGTATACATTAGCAGCAATTGAAAATTTACCAAGTGATCATCCTCATATTTCATTTCTTCAACAACAATTAGAATGCGCTAAAAAGAAATTATCGGAACATACTACACATTGATTGAACATGTTTTTTTTCTTTTTCATTGATGTATCTTCAATAAAAAGTCTCAAAGACAATTTTTTTTTGTATAAGTCACTATAGTTATATTTTATCTTAATTGATGGATTTATATCATAGAAAATAAAATTAAAGAAAAAGAGATATTTGAATTTTAGAAAATATCTACAAAAATCTTTATAGTTTCTTTGTTCAAATTCTTACATATTGAAAACCTATTTCTAAATCATTTCAAACATTCATGTACAGGATGGATCATGAACAGCACTACGATAAAAATATGAAATATCCCTAGGCCGGTTTAATCAACTGGACTGAGTAGAAGTTTATTCAAAGTTTTTTTTTTCATACGGATAAAGTAAGTAGATACTACTATGAAGTGTGATTTTTAGTATCATGAAAGCAATTTTACTGGATATCAGATATATTGATGTATACAGAGCACAAATTTTCTTAAATACTTAGTTTAAAAGTGAACATTTTCAAAATTTGCAGTTGTATGTTTTATTTATGGAGCACTAAAAACTCCAATAAATCTGTTTGAATAAGAATTTCTGAAAATCAAGACATCCAAAACCAGCTTTCTGGCATCTATTTGAATCTTTTTGGAAATGATTTTATTTGATAGAACAAAATGAGATGTTTCCGATCTTTTTATGATCTTTCCAAAAAGCTTCAAATGGATTTCAGAAAACTGGTTTTGATGATCTTGGTTTTCCATATATCCTCATTCAAGCAATTTTATTAGAGTTTTTAGATCTACAAATCTCGATAGAGAATTCTTCTAGCTTCTCAAATGTTTTCTCAGATTCTTTCTAGCTATTACTAGTGAGAAGAAAACTCAAAAATACGACTACTCTAAACTTTTATCCACTATTAGATGTGCATCAATATAGTATCATTCATACGGTTTGCTTTGACTTCTTATTTTCTTAGATGAGAACTGAAAGTTATCTAGGAAACACTTCATATGTATGTATTTACGCTACGCATATGAAAAAAATACTTTAAATAAGCTTCTACCATTAAGCAAAAAATCAGCTGATTCGAGCAAACCAAAGCAGAGATATTTAAATTTTTTTATCGTAGTATTATTTATGGTTCACCCGGCATATGTGATTTGCAATGGTTAATTTATAGACTAAAGTGTGTATGAAAAAACTTCAACGAACAGAATAGAAATCAAAACTATGAAATCTATAGTAACATGAAAGTAATAATCTTCTGCTAATTGGAAATCTTCATTTTAAAATGTTATACGTTTTAAAGCCAAATTGATGATTATTGGTTGAACGTGAATGAGAAAAATTTGAGTATATTCTAAAAAATATGAAAACACGATGAGTTTATAATATGAGGTGAAATTCTCATGAATCGCATTCAATGAAAGCAAAAACAAAAATCTCTGATTCGTACGGTTTAAAACATTATTTTTATTGATCATATCTTTTGAATTTTTTCGATTTCATTTCCTATCGATTTACTTTTATTAACCTTTTGATTATATCCAACAATTCATATTAATTCTTGATGACTAAACCATCTATGACAACAAATATAGTAATCATATTAATAGAAAAAAAAAATACGTTCAATCACTACGTCATATCTTTTTCTTTATCTACAATGTAAACATTTTCTAATTGAATTTTCTATTCGCTTTCAAAATATAAATACCGATTTCAATTATTATATCGATACTAGATCATATAAGGAAATACGATTAGTTACTGAATAAATATCTGAAAATATTGAACGCCACTTTCAATAACACCATGATGATGATGATGAAAATTCCATCATCAAATGAAATATGCCTGTCTAAACAAAAATAAATATTATAAACAAAATGCATCAACATGATATCCTATTATAATACGATCTAATCAATGTGAAGTCATTCTAACAGTAAGAATATCATGTAACAATAATGTGTCATATATATAATTGTATTAAAAGCAATATCAATAAAGAAAGTTTTTCTTTGATATTCGAGATACTTATTCACATGAAGTTTTTTTGTTTATCAATTATTGTTGTTGTTGTTCAATATTATTTCATATTCCTTTCATATATTGTATAAGCGAATGAAATATACAAACAAATATTGTAGCTAAAGCATGAATAACAGTCATATAGATAAAAAAAACCTATTTTGTAGACATATACATCAAAATCAAGATTCTCTAAAGTCAATGAATCTATGAAATAATCAAATAAGTAAATACATTTTACTTATTAAATATTGATTATCAATGAAAAACAATAAGTTAGTTCTGTGTAACAAACATAACATTGTAGAATAGTAAATTACAATGCATGACATTGGTACTGTAAATTGAGTGATTGATAGAGCTCGTCGAGTTGGTACCGAAGATTTTGAACTCTGACAGACTAGAATCTTTTAAGAAATGTGTACAATGTGCTAATTGTTGAATATAAAAACTCGGACAAAAGCACCTCGTATCTTAAATTTTAATCAATCCAATTCGGTTCCCAAAAATGTTCAATAAATCGGATTTAAGAATTTTGAACCCTCTGAACTCTGGTAACTGAGTAAACTCATCCATAACTGTAGTAAATAATGTCAATTGATTTTATTTATACTAGTAAGATAATCTTGTCGAAGTTTCTTTTGTTTATTTTGACTTGATTGATTGATAAAGATGAATGTTTAACAAGTATTCAGATAAGTTGTAACATGAAGAATTCAAAATATATTTTTCTATGTAAAATAGTATCGATTCGATTAATTTATGATGAAATTCGGATATATACTATCGAATTCAATTGGCAAATAGCTTCATAATAAATGAAATTGTCAAAGAAAAAAAAAAGGATGATAATCAATGATATAAAGCAATAATTCATGTTCAAATGAACACTCAAGAATAGATTATCAATAATTATCCAAACTTTCGGATTCATTCAAGCATTAACTAAATATCGATAGTTGAAAAAGACAGTAGTATGTTCTAAAGTGACAAAATCTAGGTCGGATTCTGCTCGACATTCCATGATCAAAGTCATACGATGATTTTCTCGCATCAATAAATAGCATATAGAATGAGAACATCATCATCTTGTATGAGAGTATGTATCATATTCATACTTTTCTATTAATAATATATGTACCATCAATACATTGTTGGTCGTCTGTTATCAATAATAAGTAAAAACTTTGCACGCAAATAATATGGAAAAAAAAAGTACTATTGACGACTTATAAGATAAAATACAAGGACGAACGGAAATGAACTTGATGACATTTATTGCTCAACATGATATTTAAAAGAAAACAATGAAATGATTTACTATTATTTGAAGAATAAATATACATATTTGATTTTTCTAAGATTCAGTGAATTGAATTACAACAATATTTTCCAATTATTATATCAAGACTTTGAATTACACTTTTATATTAGTTTTATTAAATTATCTTTTCAATATTTTGTTAATTATAAAAAAAATTCCACAAAGACTTCCTTTTAAAATCTTATCAAATCAAACTCAATCAACTTCATATTATCTCGTTTGATATTCATTCACTTGATATATTTTTAAATATATGTCATTAAAAATAACTAGCAAACCCAGTCGGGTACAATGTAAATATAATATGTCAATTTATTCTTCTTCTTTTTTGTCTGTCTTTGAAAGCAAATAAAATATATTTACATTCAAATGTAATAATGTTTGACGAATTATGTTCAAGGATACAAAATAAAGTATATCATAATAATTAGTTAAAGAGTAGAGGTGTATTTTTAAGAAGAATTAGAAGAAGACTTATATATAGATATTTATATATTTAACGTCACATGTCAAGCTGTTTCAATGATAAATGACATGCGTCATCACTGTCACGTAATATAGAATATATGTTATACCCTGGCAGTTGCACATACTAAGCGATTTCTTTAGACTAGAAGACTCGAAGATCACGCTATGAATAGCTCGAGGTTATTTCTTTATACTCTTATACATATACACAATGTATATTCAATGATCTTTTTCTTATCTCTTTTCCCTTTCTTCTCTTTTTTTTCTCTGGGAAACAGATATGCGTAATCATCACCCTCAGGAAAGAAAAATAACTATTTCTTTATACGTTAAAGATATACAGTCAGAATACCACCAGTACATCTCATATTAAAAACCACACAGTTGTTTCTATACAAGTTACGATGCACACGTCGTCATTACTATTCTTTGCTATCGTTTTGATCATAGCATTGTATACTTTACCAACAGCTGGTAAAGCTGTGAAAAAACCTGCAGCAGCAGCAGCAGCAACAACAACAACACCTGCACCACCAGCAAAAGCTCCTGCGAAATCTCCTCAAAAAGCACCAGCAGCTAAATCTCCTTCTAAAGTTGCTAAGAAAAAGAAGAAACCTGGAAAAAAAAGGTATAAATTCTATATACTATATTTTAATATTGAAAACAAAAAACATTCTCACTATAATCCAGATTTCTTGTTTTCTTTAAACATAAGAATCTATTAATCTATTTTATTTCTTCAACACATAGTTCTATTTATCTGATCTCGGATTAGATTTCATGAACAATGTTTTTTCTTTTCCTAGAAATAGATCAGGTTTCTTTGACTATTGTAGATTATTAATAGAAAACTCTTGAAGATTATTAGAAAAATGTTTGTTGTATAAGATTATTTGACATTGTTGTTGTTTTCTTTTTATCAATAACTCTTTTAAAATGAAAACAATTTTATTAGATTATAAATCGTTTATTTCATTCTAAAATTTATTGTTTTGTTTTTTTACATCGAAAATATTCTATTTTATTTTTAGTGGTAAACCTAAAACAGGTTCTTGGACAGTGCCAAATGCTGATCAAAAGAAATTATTTAATGATGTAAGTATATCATATTCTTATATTATCTTTAATAAAATTTATTCTATTGTTTAGTATAAAGCTATTTTACGTACAAAACTTCTTGCTCGAAAACATAATATATCTGCAACATATCAATTAGAACCAGCTAAACATGGTTCCCAAGAGCTTGATAAAACAACTTTACATCATTATTTAGTAAGAAAGAAAAAAATAAACTGAAAGAATAAAGATTAAATTCTTATATTTTTAGATCAAATTACCCGATTCGAAATATGCTCATGCTATTATTGGTATAAATAAAGATTCAAAAAAACCTGCACCAATTGATGAAAATAATGCTTCGATTCGTCGTACAATTTATGATAATCTCGCAGCAGCTGAAATCTGAAGAACTATATATATATCTTGGCTATAAAAGCAAAAAAAAAGAAAAACAGTGACATCCTTCTATTCTTCCCTGTGTGCGCTTTTTTTTTCCTTATTTCCACATATACACATCATATTTTCTCTTTTCTTGCGTTTTGACACACTCGAATTAGAATCGTTGTTGGCTCCCTTTTTTTTTTTGCGCTCTGGCTTGTGTGTTCGAAGAAGAAGAAGAAGAAGATGGAAAAGAAGAAGAAAAACCGAGAAATGAGCATTGTGTTAATGCAAGTAGAGAGAAAACGACTTTTTTTTCTGTGCGGCAGTGCCATAAGAAAAGAATCCTGATGTTGTTACATGCAGAAAAAAAATGGGAGAGAAAAAAAAACTTCCTAATATGATGATGGGAAAATCATTTGTTGATCAAGAGAATATTATAAGGTATTGTTGAATGACATTAAAATGATATTCATAGAAAATATCTAAAGGTAAGATATATATGTATATACATTGATAAACACGGGTTGTTATTTTTTATTTTAAATTTTTTATTCGTTGGTTTTCTTAATTTGACAGATCAACAAATAATAAGTATCAGAGACAAATGGCAACGGAAACCACTAGTCAGGAAATGGATGGGAGGGCATCTATAGCTCGAGAAAACAAAAAAAAAGAGTATGCGAATGGTGACGAAGATATTAGATCTGCAAGTCAAATAATGATGCTTAAAGATGCATTGATAATTTTTCTATCATAAAACGTAGTTATTTAGTATTTGATAGCAATCAACAATAAATACATTTATCATTGAAAATATATTATGATGAAAAGGTAAAAGTACTTATTCAACTAGATATTTGTTTTTATACTTTATTAAATGATATATATAATAATGAAACATAGAATTAGTAATATATAGAATAAGATAATTAAAACTAAAGCCTATTATCTTCGTTATTTCTATGCCTATAAACATATATATTATTTTAATTTAAAAAAAAAAGTGGATATTTGTTATGCTCTCAATCGTGTGAAAGAAAACGATGTTGAATTAGGTGTTAATTGTTTGCACATATATACACACTTGGGTAGGAATGATGTTTTTCTTTTTTTTTTTTTGTTTTTTGTTGTCAATCTCGTCTTCATCATTTTGGACAATTCTTGAACGTTGTTAAACTATTTTCCGTCGTCGTGATCGTTTCATATATAACCAGCAATAGTACATAATCGGAACTACTTAAAACAAATTAACATTTTTTTTTCTCTTTTTTCCAGTCTTATTCGTCGTTTTCTCTTATGTTCTCTATCGCACTTTCTGGCCAAGTCGAATTCGATTAGGATCTGAACGTTGACTACATAGACCCGTTTTTTTAATTTTAGCACGAACAGGCTATCCATCCTCGGAGAATAGTTCGCCGCCGTTGCCGCCGTCCCCACCACTACCACCACCCGTTGTCATCATCACTGTTTTTTTTTCCCACGCCTGCTGATTTCTTCTTAGCCATTGTAGAATAAAAGCAAGAGAATGATATTATTTTTTGGTTCTTACGTTGTAAATATATAGTAAGCTGAGTCAATGAAACATATGTGTGTGACCATTCTATTCCGACAGAGTAGCGATGCTGCGTTGTTATTACTTTCTACTTCTGCATCATTTATTAATTTTTTATTAATGACCCTCTCTTACTCTTTAGTTTATGCTCTGCCCGTTTTGGCTTTCTTTTTTTTTCCCTCTTCCTATTTTCTCTTTTCGTCCAGCATTGTTATTCTCTCGATTCTTCTTTATCAATGCGAGCATGATAGTTGGGTATGCATTGCTCTTCGCATATATGTTCTCTTTGTGTATGTGTAGTCATTAGAATATAATAATTGTATTTCGCTTCGAATTATGGATCTATAGGGGAGCGGCAAGCAGAAAAACACAGATGTAGATTCTATAAAATAAGAAGAAACAAAAAGTATTCCTTTCTATTGTTCTCTTTATTTAGATTCCTTTTATTGTTTCTTTTTTTCTTTTGATATTCCATTTTGTTTCTCATTACACATGATTATCATATACATATATATATTAATAGTGCTTTTTGTTATTGGTGAGAGATACTACTTGAAAGTCAATTTGTGAAAAACAAGAGTAAGATTGCGTGTCTGTGATCATGAAATGAGAATGAGAGCGGCGGCAGATCGATTTTTTTTTTCTTCTTTTTCTCTTCCATTATCTAGTCGATCTGAGAATACGACAAAATGCAAATCAAGTCACGTTCTCAGAATATTTACTGCCGAATGTCGAAACAATTGAACTAATTGTTTCTATTGATAAATTCATAGAGTTCAATAACAAGTATGATTCTAGTATTATTTCGTAGTTCATATATTTATATCGATAGTTTACTATAAGTTTCGTTTCAAAAAATGATCTTGTTTGATTAAAAGTTCTTTTTTATTTTTTTGAAATGAATCTTTTCGTAAAACAGTTCTATATTATTTATAGAAACAGTAAAATATATATTATTCTTTTTTTTTTTACTTAAATATATCGATTGATAGAGTATAAATTTCATATTCTCGCTAAATAAACTTCCGTGATCTTATCCATTGTTAACTCATTCATTCATTTTATCAGTACGTTTCTTGTCTAAATGAGATGAGAACTCATGATTTGCTATTATTCTATTTAAATGTTAAGAAAATATTTATATCTCTCCGTCATATAAGTATCACGAACGATGAGTGACTTTGCAGTAATAAGACATAAAACTGTTTATGTTATTAAAATAAGAAAAAATAAATAATTTGTTGACAATTTATAATATAAGAACGTGACATTACAATAGTTATAAGTTTTAATAAACTGTATTGAGTTATCGAGTATATTCAGTAGAATCTTAGTTGTCAACGATAATTAAACAAGCAATTTTTTTTTTGTATTTGTTTTAGAAAAAACTAAATATGATCTGTTTAGTTTGATTAATTGATTTTTCTTATTATTTTCGAAACAAAAATGAAAAATAAGAAAACAGTGTTTTCGTTTAGTGTTTTGAGAATAATTGAGGTACTGGTAAATAGCACCATCTGTAGGAAATTATTCAAATTCTTAGAATTGAAATATTTTTATCTGTTATATCAAATTGTTGGCGTCAAAAAGAGTTTTATTTCTTGATAATTCTATGAAATTCATTTACATTAATTTTTCTACTAAATTAATTGCTAATATTATGAACGAAGGTTCTTTTTTACCTTTATTTTATAGCGGAATGAACTTTTTTTTCTCGAGTTTTTTTTCATATTTTGCATCTATTAATTTTTATTTAGTAAATTCTTTTTCTTTTGTTATTCTCTTATTTTCCATTTTTTTCTCGTTAAATCAACAGAAATGAAATGTTCACTAATATATATATTTTTCATCATTTAAAGTACTCTTATTATTTTGTTCTACATAAATCAAAAATGAGACGATTCGCGTGTATCTATTCTCAAGTCTCATGACCTGATACTTTGTCGTTAGGGATTTTTTTTTGTGTCTGTATTATCAAACATTATCCTGGCCTCATTGAGTACTAAAGAAAAAAGATAAATTCATCGAGAAAATCGGCGAACTTTGACATAAATCAACACATTAATCGAATCGTGGAGAATGTCGAACGAACAAAGAACTTTACATTGTGTTATTATCAAATGAGGAAACCATCGATTTGCCAGACAACAACAAAGAACAACCAAAACAAAAAAAAAATAACGCTGTTGTTGCTTGTTTATTGTGTTTCTTTTCTTCTCATTAATATCTAAATATTGTTGATGGGTAGGAGGAGAATAATGATAGTTCGCACTCACTCAGTCGCTTATTGATGATGTGAAAAGAAAGGAAGGAAGAAAGAATGAATAAAATGTATGAGAACAAAACGTTTGCTGTTACGAGTAGCTGCCACACACACACACATTGAATACATGCTCCTATAACAACAATAACAGGATCGACGACGATGCAAAAACAAATGCAAAGTAGAAAAAAGAGAATGCTTACTACTTTCTTTCATTTTTCATCTCTCTCTCTCTCTCTCTCTCTCTCTCTTGTTCTCTGTTAGATCCATCTCGTTCTTTCTTTTCTTCCTTCATCTAACAACAAAAAAAAACTTGATAAATGAATTTCTTTTACTCTATCTTGTCGATGTGCCGTATACACACATAGCATACTATCGAAAAGAAAAGATGAGGAAAAAGAACATCGCCTTGCACACCCGTGCAATGAAGAGAAAGAGAAAGAGAAAGAGAAGAGAGAGAGAGGAAGAGAAAGAAACAAAGCAGGAAATCTATTTTCATGCCCCAATAGGCGGTATGTGGTTCTGTCTAGGTCTCTTCTCTCACTTTCTAGATGCGTGCATGCAGGTGTCTCTTTCGACAGTCTTGTTAAGACAAACAAGGATAAATAGTAATACAATATTATATATATAATCGATGACAATTATTCTTTTCTTTCATAGAATAATGCTAATTGTTGTTGTTTTTTTTTTCTTTCTCTAATACTCTAGATCTATTTTCCATGTATTATTCTTGTTTGTCTTGTCATGTTACAATATCATAGATCAATTACATTTGAAATAGAACGAAGAATATCAATGTTTCTAAAATCAATATTAATTTCATCATTCTTTTCATCTTGATGGATAGACCATGATCATAATGGCAACAAGTACAACAGTATCTAATAATATTTCAAATTCCTCTTCGTCCAATAAAACATCACTTACATCTTCATCACTACCAACAACATCCATAATGACAACAACAATAAATAATGTCACATCTCCACTAACTATTGAGCGTGTGATGAAAAGTAAAAATAAAAGAAAAAAAATAAAATAAAAATTTTAATTCAATATTTTAGACATTCCATGTCCACCAAATACAAGTTTAAGTGCATATGATGTATTCGATTCACGTGGAAAACCTCGTGTTGAAATTCTTAAAACACATTTTGTTGCTGAAGGTCGTGTTACTGAGGATGTAGCTCTTAAGATAATTGAAGATGGTGCAAAATTATTACGACAAGAAAAAACAATGATTGATGTTGAAGCACCAATAACTGGTAAAAAAAAAACGAAAACAAAATTAAATAAATTATATATGTACGAAATTTTATTTAGTATGTGGTGATGTACATGGACAATATTTTGATTTAATGAAATTATTTGAAGTTGGTGGTTCACCCGCTACAACTCGATATTTATTTCTTGGTGATTATGTTGATAGAGGTTATTTTAGTATTGAAGTATGATGAAAAAAAAATTAAATTAAATTGAATATAATTAAAAAATTTTATTCTAGTGTGTTCTTTATTTATGGTCAATGAAAATTCTTTATCCTACAACATTTTTTCTTCTACGTGGTAATCATGAATGTCGTCATTTAACTGAATATTTTACTTTTAAAACTGAATGTAAGTATTTAAAAAAAAGAATCAAATAATGTACGAAAACAATTGTTTTTTTTTTTAAATTCTATTTAGGTAAAATTAAATATACAGAAAGAGTCTATAATGCATGTATGGAAGCATTTGATTGTTTACCATTAGGTATTTAATACAAAATACAAAAATTTATTTAAATATCATAAATTATTATGTGTATTTTAGCTGCACTTATGAATGGCCAATTTTTATGTGTACATGGTGGTCTTTCACCAGAAATTCATACACTTGAAGATATTAAAAGACTTGATCGTTTTAAAGAACCACCACCTTATGGACCTATGTGCGATTTATTATGGTAAAATATATTTCAAATAATTATGATTATATATTATTACGGGTTTGTTTTTGAATTATAGGTCTGATCCTTTAGAGGATTATGGTCTCGAACGAACTACTGAACAGTATAGTCACAATACAGTACGAGGATGTTCCTATTTTTATAGGTTAGATAATGAAGTTGTATAAAAAATTAAAAAAAAAGAATTTTTTTCCTATTTCGCATTTAGTTATATTGCGTGTTGTGATTTTTTGCAAAATAATCAATTATTATCAATTATTCGCGCTCATGAAGCCCAGGATGCTGGGTAATAAAAATGATTTCATTTATATTTAATTGTGTTTTTCTTCTTCGATATATATATTTAGATATCGTATGTATAAAAAATGTCAGAGTACAGGATTTCCAAGTCTGATTACAATATTTTCTGCTCCAAATTATCTTGATGTGTATAATAATAAGGCTGCAATTCTTAAATATGAAAATAATGTCATGAATATTCGTCAGTTTAACTGTTCACCTCATCCTTATTGGTTACCAAATTTTATGGATGTATTTACATGGAGTTTACCATTTGTTGGTGAAAAAGGTTAAATAAATTTTTCTTCTTGAAAATAATATTTTTACAAAACAATGATTTCTTTTTTTAGTTACGGAAATGCTTGCTAATGTTCTTAATATTTGTTCGGATGAAGAATTAGAAAATGATGGTACATCTACTGATGAAGGTATGTATAATTGATTTTATTTAAAAATGAAAAACAGTATATAGGGAAATTTTCCTTTGGGAATAATATCTAGTTTGTATTCATATATATATATACAGATTTATTTATTTGTTTTTTTTCTTCGTTTTAGTCGATGTGATGAGTGAAGGTAAGTGATGACAGAAGAGTTCTTTAAAGAATAATGTGCTTATTGATTTTTTTTCTTTGTTATTGTCTAGCTGCATTAGCTGCTCGTAAAGAAGTAATACGTAATAAAGTACGAGCTGTTGGTAAAATGGTTCGTTATTTTGCAACATTGAGGTCAATACTAATTACTTAAACAAAGAGAATACAAAATTTCTTTTTTCTTTGTTATGTAGAGAGCAAAGCGAAGATATTTTAACATTAAAAGGACTTACATCAGGTGGAACATTACCATTAGGTACACTTGAAGGTGGAAAAACAGCGATTGAACAAGGTGAAATTAATAACTTATTTGTTTTGTTTTTTTTTGTATTATTAAGTTTTTTCTTTTGCATATATATTTTAGCTAAACAATTAATTTCTCATAAGAAACGTATATCATTTGAAGACGCTAAACGTTTAGATAAAGGTAATGAAAGTATGCCACCATGGCAACAACTTCATCCATCATCCTCCGGTCTTACATCGGGCGTTGGTTCTAGTGGTACAGCATCCCCAAATATTGGTTCATCATCACCACGTATTGTTGGTACATCAACAATGTCCTCTTCTATTTCATCAACATCATCATCACCTGTTAATACATTAGCTGATGCATCATCAGGTGTAACAACAAATTTATTAATCGATTCAACAAATACGAACTGTAATGGAAGTGGTAATAATAAAACGTCTGGACGAACAGGAAATGATTCGTCGAAAAATCCTTATCGAACCAAGTGAAGATAAATTATTTTTCAAAAAAAAAAAAGAAAAAACCAAAATCTATTGTCTTCTTTTCTATTGAACATTAAGAGAATATTTTAGCGTGAATTGTTTGCATTCACTGATATAAAATACATTTATGATGGGAAATGGATCTATTGATCAATAATCCTATTTTCATGTTTCGTTTCTTTTTTTTCTTTTTTTTGTATAAAGTCGACTGACTTTTCTCTGTCTTCGTTTTCTTCGGTTCACATGCGTGTGTCTAACTCTTTTCGTGATAAACCAAAAACTAGAAAAGAAACCACAATAATATTCTATTGTCGTCAGTGCGGTAAATGAGACATAAAGAGAAAAAAAAGATCTTAAATATCTTTGTATTAGCAATATTTCTCTTCAATGTTGTTCTGCGCTTAATAGCGTTCGCATTAGTTTCTTGTTTTTTTTGTTTCTCGTTTGCTTCATTTTTTTTCCACGATTCTAATGACCATCACAATCATTGAAGGCCATGTGTTTTTCTTTCCTACTTTTATTTGTTTGTTTGTTTGTTTGTTTGTTTGTTGTGAGCAATGATATTCCTTCTTCTAATTTTTTTTTCTTTGTCTTTCTTTTATTTTATGGCCAAAACAAAAAAAAAATAGCATGACGACAATAATCAAGACAAAAAAGAAAATAAAAAATAAAAAACTATAATGAGTTCATTCAAAGAGAAAAATCTTTTTGTTTTTATTCATATGATACAAGCAATAATAATATCAATGTTTTCTTAATTGAAACAAGAATTAATTTTTGACCATTCCTTTCTTCTTTTTTTTTATTATCTAAAATAGATTAAATAATTGTTTTTCTCATCAAACATTTGATCATGTTCAGCAAAGATTATCGTGAAAAAAAGAATTTATTTATGTGCATGCAAGGAGAAAATAATCAATCATCAGATGGATGGGAAATTTACTAATATAAATATGTTTCTTGTAATCATTTGTTTCAAATTTATATTTCTTTATGATTGAGAAAATAAGTCATCCATTCTGTTGTCAATGTTATATATCATAAATAATAACATGTGTTACTTATAATTGTCACTTTTTGTTTGAAGTAATCTTGGTTAACACTGTCAAATATATGAAAAATATCTTGTTGATACAAATCGGTTAGATGTTGATCATTGAGAAAATAAGGTCAATAGTAAGATACTAACATTAATAGTTCATGCTCGATAGTTATTGTTCATATTTTAATGAAGAATTATGAAATCTGCGAGAAATATCATTGACAATAGATTGTGATTGAATTTTTAAGTTTTTAAAGAGAATTGCAAATTGAGTATGGATATTTATTAAATGATTTACATTTTGTTAAATTCTATGATCGGGGATAAATATTGGACATCAACAAATTACTATTAGTAGTTTACTACATATAGTACCACAATATTCTGATTTTTATATTATTCAAACATCATTAGAAGATCGTCTTATTAAAGAAGTGTCGGTACTTTTTACGCTACGGGAAGTTACAGGCTAATATTTACTTGTATCAGGATATGAAAATAAAAAATAAACATTTTTTGATTCATATGGAACAAGAAGTGTTTCAATGACATAACATTATGATCTAATCATGAGTTCAAAGTTTAGATTTTTCATTCTTATTATTAATAGGAATATAATAGAAACTCGTTTGTTGTCAATAACGTCTATTTTGTTTTATTGTCATTTTTTCAGAAGTACTTTAGACATACAATCAATGACTAGTATAGTAACTCGTATATAATTTTCTACATAGTAATATTATAAACAATCAAAAAAGTTATGACTGATACCATGTGATATTTTTTTTTTGATCAAATCATATATTTATTAAGTATCTTTATTTTATATAGATTCATGATATAAATTAGTATCATACAATTCAACGTTTTCTTTTGCTTATTTTTCTTGATGAAAACATCAATTCTATTTGATTCTGTTCTAAAACATCTGCAAGAAATAATTCAAGTTAAGTCATGTCAATCGAACGTTTTTTGATGATATATTTGTTTTTTATTACATGTTAGAAACATGAAAGTCCTATTGAATAAGTACATGAAAAGTTAAACAACTTTGGTTAACTCTTGTCACATATCATGTAAATGATATAAATAACATATATCCGATTAAATTCTGATGATTAACTTTGTTTATGTATTCAAGATAAAAATAATCTGCTTAGTAAAAATTTTCATTTTGAAATTTATGATGTCACATTTAATATATTATTCATATTACCACTTCATACTGATTCAGATATTTTATCTCGTATGAGAATTAATTGATAAAAATGATTGACTATTTAGATCGATGTTAAACATTGTTTTTATTATTATGATTCATTATAGAAAATAAAATCTATTTTTTATGAAAGTTTTAAAATAAAGAATAATGAATTTTTGTTTTCACAGTTTTTGAAAATATGTCCTGTTTAACAAACAGATTAATTAACATATTCAAGGCTATATAATTCATTGATAGGCAGTGGCGAATCTTGAATTTTGGAAATAGAAGCGATCATGGCCACAAAATGTATTTTGAAATTCATTAGAGATAGTATCGGTTCAGTTTTGGACATTTTCTACTAAGAAACATAGAAAAGGATTTCGGAAAGAAGGAGCTATCACGTCCAGTGCCCTCCTTTAAACTCGATATTGTTGGTGAATCACGATAATAAATAATTGAAAATCTTTACTTTATCTTAATCAAATGTGATATTAGTTTTTTTTGTCGATAAGTGAGAAATGTTCAATGATTTTGTTCCTAAGAGAAACGTTAATAGATGCTATGCTCAAGTAGTACAATTGTCTGCAAATTCATGACAACTTTAAATTGGAAGAGAGATTTAACTTTATCTTAAATAGGGATGTGCAATTTCAGTTTACTGGGCACCACACAGTGGACAACAACATGGATATTAGATGGAAAAATAAAAGTGAGCTTTTTCGAGATTTGAATAGTAACTTATACACTTTGATTAGCGATCAGTTTGTTGGTAAAAAAAAATTTGTCGTAACTGATAAATTCATTGGAAAAACTCACTCGCAAGTTAACGACAAATTTTCAAGATCTTTAGAGAAAAACATAATTTTTTTGTGAAAAATAAAAAGAGTTGGACAATAAATCATATATAGTCTAAAACTAGGACTTCTGCTTTATCGGTTTATAAGAAAAGTTTTCGTTCTAAAAAAATAATTATTTGTTGTTCGAAAAGATACCTTCAGTAAAATTGGCCACCACTCTATTCCACTAATCTGATATCGATAAAACTTTCAGAGAATGTTCTTGTGTATCTGGAACATACATTCACTTAGCAAAAATACTTCTAGACTGAGATATAGGTTTTCTAAAAACTCTGATTTCTAAACATTTTTTGTGATTTTTTTATCATAGAAGCACTTTTAGAAAAAAATAAAGACATATATGAAATCAACGCGAAAAACTACTTCGAGTAATGTACCATCTGCCAATTTTTAAAAGTAAGAAGTCTTTTCGCAAAAATTTCCATTGCAAATGGTCTTTTTCTCATCCGTCTTATTTTTGAGTAGAAGAAACTAATATTTCTCTGAAAAAAAAGTTGCTTATTAATAGAAAATGAGTCATGTCCGTGTGCTCGATAGAAATGATTCATTGTGCAGTGTAGTTGATGCACTTTGACACCAGTTTTATAATTCAAAAACAAAGATTAATCTAATTTGTGGAAATTCCTTGAATTTACAAGGGATTTATTATCTAAAGTAACTTTTAGAATACATATGTGAAATGAGTAACGTAGCGAAGAATTTTTAAGTCATAGATCGTTTTTCAGCTAAACTATTTTGAGAAGTAGACAGCAATGACCAATTAAAAATCAATTGAGCTACATCTTTTTTAAAACTTATTTCTATTACAAAAATCGATGTTTATTGAAGAGAAATTCGTTACTCTCAACTAAGAGACGAGTTCATTCATTGTTTTTTTTTAAATATTAATTCACAAATGTACTCTTCCATTTTCACATCTTTGAATATATTATGTTAAAAAAAGCATTTATAAGCACCAATAGAACTATTAGCAAATTGAAGTGGAATAATGAGTATTTTAACAAAAAAATACCACCGTGAAATTGTCATTATTGTGGTCATCAGTTTATTGAAAAATATAGTCAATTGATCTTTCTGAATGATTTGATTAGATCACAATAAGATATAATTTATTAAAATGATATCATTTGGATCTTTGTACATGTTTGTGTATCAAAATTTTTAGACATTGGGCAATCGGTATCATTTCAAAAACAAAAACCGTCCGCAATTACTTTAGAATCTATGGGCAATTGTTCAATGGTGCTACTCCTTGCTACAGTACTGTGTGAAATACACTCTTTCGAAAATCTTTTTCTATCATTGACAAAAAAAATATATATATATGAAGACATTCAATTTATTTTTTCACAAGTGGTCTCTTCATTACATTGTCTTGAGTTTGTTAAACAATTGTAAATTTATTTTTAATAGTAGGTGTTCTATTAACAAAATAAAAAAAAAGATGAAATTGTTCTTTTCTTTTTTCAATGTCAAAATAGAAATGAATGAACTTAAAGAACGTTCACCTTTTTATTCTAGAAATCTGTCAAAAGAAAAATAGGAATTCTAGAAAAAAAAAGTTTTTTTTTTCTCAACATTATGAAATGAGAAAGAGTATATTATTAATATATTTCTTTTATTTTTTGCTATTGTCTATGTTCATCAAGTGAATATGAAAGCAAACCTTTGGAATAGTATTATACTACTATGCGGAATAATGATGATAATACTTATAATGATGATTTTTTGTTGGAAAAGAATCTTTCGTAATCGTTCACCGGTTTTTCCATATAAAAACTCATCAGTTGCTTTTATAACTCAAGCATATCGTCAACAAGGGCCTTATAGAACAGTTTGGGCATCACCACAAATTAGCCAATTACCACCTCCTTATTATTCAGTGACGAATAATGCAACAATTCCACCATCTGTGTTCTATACAAAACAGTGAAATCTTCATCCAAAATCAATTCATGTGTTTTTTTTCTTTTATTTTTCAACAATAAAATTCATTTAAAAAAAAAAATATATAAAAACAATTGATTTAAAAATGCGAATAAGACGTACTATATGTATTGAACTGTGTCAGTTGTATTTATTTCCCATGCAATTGGAAAATAATTATTTTCATTCTCAAATCCATTTTCTTTTATTTTCATAGCATTATTTAATTTCATTTGTTCTCGTTTAATTGTTGAACCCATTGATGATGGTAAAAGACGTAAGGTATCATTTGGATTATGACAACTTATTAAAAATTGCCATGGAAATGGACATGTTCGTATATCAACAGGAAGTTTATTGCTATATGTTTGACGTGAATGCCATAAAAAAATATTTTGTTTATTACAATCAATTGTTAATTCAATAAAATCATTCATTTTCATATTATCAAGATATCCATTGAGAGTAGGCATCGATTTTCCATTCATATAAACATGATTATATCCAGCCCAACCATGAACTGATGAATCCATATAAGATTTTTGATTATGAGATTTATGTTTAGATATAATACCAAAAAAAATCCATTCATCAGATGTCATATGTTCGATATGAAAGAATAATTTATGTTCACCTTGAGAATATTCATGATATCCACGTATTGATGCATCAAATTTTGTAGAATCATGAATAATAAGTTGACCATTATCAAGAATTTTAACATGATCAGAACATAATGAAAATCGAT